GGGCACGGGGGGCCTGGGGAGCGGCGCTGGGGGGCGGGGGACTGGCACGGGGGGCACGGGGGCGCCGCTCGCGCCGGCGGGGAGGGCGAGGGGCACTGGGGGGCCGGGGAGTGGCGCTGCGACAGCGGCGAGTGCCTCTGGCCTGGAAGAGAAGCAGGACCAGGTCAGGGGACGCGATGGGGAGAGGAGAGGTCAGAACTGGGGCCGGGGCTGCTGGCCACCAAAGCCCACCCACCTCCTCCTCGCGCAGGGAAAAGCATCGGGCCTGGGAGGGAAGGGAAGCGGAGGGTGGCCCGGACACGGGATGGCTTCGTAGCTCCCCCGCCCGGGGCCCAGCCCCGGCCCCTGCCCGGCCCTCTCACCGCCGCTCCTCGTCTGCTCCTGCAGCAGCGTCCTCAGGATCCGCCCCTGCAGCGAACTCAGCTCCCGCAGCCGGCCCAGCTCCTCCGTCAGCTCCGTGTAAGCCAGCGCCAGGTTCACCCTGAAGGACACCCCGTCCCCCCAGGTCACGGCCTGGCCCCCTGAGGTCAGAGGGCAGGGAGCAGGGAAGAGGAGGAAAGTGGTTTCCTGTGACGGCTGTGGAGCAAGAACGGGCTCTGGGCCAGCACCTGGCCCTCTCCCCCTTCCGGGGCCCTGCGACCCCGATTTAAATGCCACCTATTCCAGGAGCCACCCTCTCTCCCAGCGAATGGTACCTGGGGCTAGGGCAGTGGTTCCCAGACTATGGGCTGGGGCGGGGAGCTCAGTGATGCCCCGGGGTCCCTGAGTCCAGGCGTCGCCAGGCACTGCCTGCGGCCTGGACGTACCTCACACACGTATGTGTGAATGTTTTTCCAATCTGTGCAGAAGCTGTGGTGACAAATAAAACACAGATTCATCAAAAGGCCGCACGGGACCAACAGTAGCTCTCGTCACTGTGCGTTTTCTCAGAGAGCACCTACGAAAAGTGGAAGCGCCATCGCGGGCCGCGGGCAGGGGGTCCACGAAGAGCCCTCAGCTGCGAGAGGTTGGGGACCACAGTTGCACAGCCCAGGATGAGCCCCCTTCTGGAAGTGAAGGGCATGGCCTCCCGGGGAGCCCAAGTCTGCCGGGTTCCGGGTCCAGGGCCTTTGCCTCCATCTCTAAGCTGCCTCGGAGGGAGCCCTCTACTCAGAGATCTTTGTGAACACAGGGCTGTGCCCCACTCACCTCCAGGGGGCGCCACTCACACTGAAAACTTATCAAAGTTGCCTGGTTCTGGAACTTCCCTGGGAGTTCCTCGAAGGTGGAAACTCTATCACTGCATTCCTATTCTCAGCACCTTGCCCAGGGCCTGGTACCCAGGACATGGATAGTGAGTTGAGCCTTTCCATCCATTTTTCTTTCTTCCTCCACTTCCTGCTCAGCTCTCTGGGCACCCACCCTCACGAAGCTGGAACAGACTGTGAACTTGGCAAAGACCTCACCTACTTCCCTTGTTCCTTTCTCTTTAGGTCACTTTGACCCAGAACCTCCGGAGGTCATCACTGTCAGCACTGCCCCTCCCCTCGCCCCCACCCTGGCCTGCTGCCCCCAGAGAGACCGTCCTGACCTCACACGAGGCTCTGCCATGGCCTGGGGTCTCTGCCTTCCGGCCTGGGCTTGGACAGAGTCCGGGAGGCCAGGGTTTGGGTTCTCTTGCATCCCCCATACCGTACCAAGTCCAGAAGGGGCTCTGGGGCTTTGTGGAAATTGGGGCTGGGGGGAAGGGGCGGGCAGAGGCGCAGCCACTCGGGTGGGTCACTTCCAGGGGAGGCCCTTTGGCCCCAGGAGCTGAAGGGCCCTGGGCAGGAATGAGGCGGGGACTTCTCCAGACCTTCACTCAGGCCCCCCTCGCCCCATCCCACAATACCAGGCATGTGAGAGAGGATGGAAGTGGATGGGAGGGAGCGGAGGTAGGTGTGAGGCCAGTATGGTGAGTGTGAGGAACGGTGTGAGAGTGAGTGTGTGTGAGTGCGTGTGTGTGGCCCCAGAGGGGAGGAGGGGAAGTCGTGAGGTTAGGGCTTCAGAGGGCAGGAAAAGCCGAGGTGCAGGGCAGGTGATGACGGAGCTCCCTCACTCTCACTCTCCGCTCACTGGCTGGCTCTCCTACTAGAGCTGGGTGGTGGGGGAGACAATGGCGCCTCCCACAACAAAACTATTTTTGGGTCAAAACAAAATGATTGCCAACAGGCTGGGATTCCTGGGGGACAAGGCTCCCTCTTAGGGAGGGAGATCGCTCACCCGCCCATCGGGTGGTGGGCCGAGATGGAGGAAGGGGGGTCCTTTCGGAAACCCTCGCTGAAGGGCTGCAACCCATGTTGGCTGAATGTGCCCTGTGTCCACCCACTCAGCCTATGGGCCTGCGGGAACCACGCCACCTGCCCTGCCAGCCTGGAGGTCCAGTCTGTGTGCCCCACATTAAAGTGGGGACTCCCCGGTGGGAGGCTACCCCCTTCAGACCTGGGGAAGTCTGAGGGCAGGAGCTGTGTCTCCCCCATCAGACTGGGGGCTTTCGAAGGACCATGCCACCCCGCAGTGGGGGGATGGGAGGGGTTCCGGGCAGGGCAGTGATTCGGAGCAGCGTCCTCCTCTGACCAAGCAGCCACCGTTTCTCTCCCCGTCCGCAGCCACTGCTGTATCTCAGGTGACAGATACAGGTCGCTGCCCTCACACCCACCCTGGGAGCTCTCACCTGCCACCCTCCGTTCCCAGGCCCCAATCTCTCCCCTGCTTGCCTGCCTTCCCTTGTCAGGAGCCAGCCCAGTTTCCAGGGCCCAGCTTCTGGCAGCCTCCTCACAACAAGACAGACAGAGCAGCAGGAAATGGAAGAAAGGCGGCCCTGGCCCAGAATGTCCAGCCCTCACAGCTCTGATCTGGGTGCCTGGGGCAGGCAGGGGCTGTCCTGCTGGAACCCCTGGCAGCCTTCCCAGAGACCTGAGACCTGGCCAGGCGGTCGGAGCCAACCTCCTGATGCCCTATGACCCTTTGGGACCGCCCCCTTCAGTGGGTGTCATCTCCCTACCCCAAGATGCACACAGCCAGGCGGCGATGCACACAGCCAGGCCCGAATGACTCACATTAGAAAACACTGCCAATTCAGTGGAAAAATAAATCTCAACTTCACAACACAACCAAGAGTCACACGCATACACCTGAAGGCACCTTCTGTTTCCTGGCTTCCTGGCCCTGCTACTTTCCACTATCGAGGCCGGTCGGGAAGCATGGGGCAGGCGAACGGCATTCGGGCGCTTCTTTATGGCTTAAACTACGGGATGTCCCGAGTCCCTGGGAACCTGGGAGGGACCCAGGGAGAAGAGAATCACAAACCACCTGTACGAGCGCTCATCACAGGCCAGGCATCATGCTGGGAACTTCGCTTAATCTTCACCACCACCCCACAGTGTTGCATTTTACAGATGAGGGAATGGAGGTTCCCAGAGGTTAAGTCCTTGACCAAAGTCATAAAGCCGAGGAGGAATGGAGTTGCTGGAATGGGAGCTCTGGCCTCCTGGACTCCGGAGTCCAGGGTACTGACCGCTCCGCTATACCCTGCCTTCCAAGAGGAAGCAGCAAGGGCGGGAAAGTGGAGGCGGGATGGCAGCGGAGGAGGAGGAAGAGGCTGGAGACCTCCAGAGTGGCCGGGCGCCCTGAGCATCACCCCCGCCGCCCCGGGAGGAGAGAGGAAGGAGCTAGGCATGTATGGCAGCGGAATGGCCGGGCTGGTCGGAGGCTGGCCCAAGGCCACGAGCAGTGGTGACACAGAGCAGGGATTCAAACATGCTCTTGGCACCTCAGCCTGCTGAGCTGGCACCTTCCGAGGAGCAAATGGCAGAGCTGGCAGGAAGAAGGGCCCCCGCTGCAGCAAATCTTTCCACCCTTCATTGACTTATCCTTTCATTCATTCTTCCCACGCCTAAGTCAGGGATCTCAGAACCCACCTGGCAATAACAGTCTTCACTATTGTTGCTAAAGCTACCGAGGTTAGAGACCGAAGGGTCCTCCTCTATTAAAGGCCTTTCTGCCCCGAACCAGCCACAGAGGCCCCTGGGCACCCTGTGTTGGAGCGCCAGTGAGGACGTGGCAGGGTTGGAGTTCACACGCCGGGTCATGGATGAGAATTAGGGAAGGGCTGAAGGTCGAGGTTAAGGCTGGGCTCAGGGTCAGATTAGGGCTGGGGCTGATAGTTCATTTTCGGTCAGGACTGTGGACAGAGTTGGGGTCAGGATAAGGGATAGGGTTAGAGTTAGGGATGGGATCCATATGAGGGTCAGGAATGGGGTCAGTCAGAATCATTAACTGACTCAGGATCGGGAGGAAAACAGACATCCAGCCCCCCTAACCCTCCCATCTTTGCCCACAGCGGCCCTCAGTTGCCCCCAGTCACCTCCCCCCTGTGGGTAAATTTAGGGACCAAACTTTCCACCACCCACAGGCACGCCCAGCATCAGTCTTCCCACACGACCCCTCAGGGAGGGGACCACAGGCACCAGGCCATGGAGCGGACCTGAGGTTACAGGCCTCGGCGGGAGGAGGAAGTCGCTCTGCAACAACCCATGCTCCACCACTTCCTCTCAGGCGCCTTGAGCCCCTTCACGCTCCTCGACCAGCTATGACTTGCGGTCCGCAGGGCCCGGCAGCCCTGCCATGCTTCCAGCACAGCGAGATGTCAGGGTGCCTGGGCGCCTCCGCTACGCAACCAAGCTGAGCCGCTCACAGAGAGGCTGGGAACCAGGGTCCCTGGTTCGGTGAGGGGCCACCCATCCCAGTTTGCCCAGAACTGTCCTGGTTCACACCGGTGGCGCCAGCATAAATACTAACGGTGCCCCTTGCACTTGCTACAGGGATCAGGTTTGATCAACAAATCACCCGACCCCTCTGATATAAGGGCTCCAACCTGAAGAAGAATCTGAAGCAGAAAAAAAACCCATTTGCTCAGAACCTGCTCGACATGTACACTTAGCGTCTCTGATTACTTCACTTCTTTGAACCTCAGTTTGCTTAGCGGTAAAAGCGGACAATGCCTTCATCACATGGTTTTTTGGGGTTTTTTGTTTTTGGGTTTTTTTGGTGAGAATTAAATGAAATGTTGTAGGTAAATTGCCTCGCATGGCGTCTGGCATGGAGGAAGGGTCAGGGGAGCGCCTAGGACACAGGGGAGGGAGGGGAGACCATTTTGATCCTTTTTCTGGAGACACCAGCCCAGTGACTTGGGTTGAAAAGGGAGGGGAGGATGTGGAGTTTCCCATGGAGGGAGAGAGTGTGGTAAGAGCTCCTCTCTGCCTTCCTGGCAGGGAAATGGCCCGAGACCAAGACCGGTTCAAAGCCCACCAATCCCTCAGACCACAATGAGGTGGGAGTGGTGGGCCTCAATCGCAGAGCCCTGCCCCACGCCCGCCCGCCAGGGCTGCAAGTGCTCAGTGGTTCATTCCTGTGAGCTGGTGCCTGGCTGAAGGAGACTTGAAAGAAAGGAAGTAGGGAGGGTGAGAAGCGTGAAGGGGGAGGCCCTGGGCCCGCTGCTTCTGGGGCAGGAGGCTACGCTCAGGGTACACGGGGGTCTCCGATTTCCGCCCTGACCCACCCTACACTGCCCTTGACCTCTGTGCAGAGTTTCCATCCTCTCTCTCCGAGTTCACACTTCTCCCCCACCACTAACCGCAGCCCACGCAGAGGCTTGTGGGCGGAGAGAGGGGCGTGGGGGGTGGGCGGAAAAGGGCCCAGGCTGCAATGCTGAGCCCCCCACGTTGGGAAAGAAGAAAGACCTAGAGTTTACCCCTCATCACTCACACTGAGCCCCACGTCTTCTTACGGTGGACCCCTCACGAGCGAGCTCCCCCTTCACTGAGCCCTCGTTCCCCTCACTAGCCCTGCTCTCTCAGAGCCCTCAGACCCCAAAGGACCCCCTCTCCACAATTTCCTCTCCACAATTTCCCCTCCTCCCTCAGCGCGGGCCTCTGCGCTGGGCCCGGAGGGCAGGCGGTGTGGGTTCCGCACCTCCCCCTGGACAGGGACCCTCCTGGGGTCCTTACCTCCCAGGGCACCTTCAGGAGCAGGTGGTCTCCACTCCCACCCCCTCCCCGAGTGGCCCCCATGCCCTTGGCCCCGGAGCGGCCCCCTGCAGCTCTCCCCCCGGGGCCATCTGTTTCCCTGGGCATCGGTCTCCAAAGGGCAGGGAAATCTTGCCCGGAGGTCAGACCTGGATGCGTCTGGTCTGGTCTGGGTGTCCATTTCCAGAGGAACATTGATGACCAGAGCTGATGGGCCCGGGGCTGGAATGGGAGGAGCTGGGGAACCCTGGGGCTGGGCTGCCTCCCAGCCTCAGCACAGGAAGGACCTATGTCGGAGGATTAATAGAGGCAGGAGCTGCATGAGGGGGTGCATTTTAACACCCAGGACTCCCCACTATACAACTGGCTGCCCTGGAGGTGGCCAAACGGAGAACAAGTGAGAAGCTTTCGGGGACACAGAAGATCCTCATATGGGAGGAGGCTGAACGCAGACATTTCTGGGGCCCCCTCTTTAGCGTTCACACCCCACCCGATAATGCAGCCCCTGCATTCCTCTCCTGGGTAAACCCATCTGTGACATTCCCAGGAGCCTGGAGGGGCAGGAAGAAGTAGGAAGAAGAGGAGGGGTCATGGGGTGACTGAGGCCTCCTCAGGTGGGAGGACAGGGGAGGCATCGCCGGGGAAGCGGACGATTACCACAAGGAGCTGAGTTTATAAGAAAATAAAACTGCCGGGGAGTGAGGACTTCCTCTGGTAATTAACTCTTGCCAAGCTGGGGCTGTCCAGAGAAACCCAGCCTGCAAGCCAGTGTGAGGCCGGCAGGCAGGGGGGTCCGGGAGGCCCGGAGGCAGCGTGTGAACCACTGGGACCGAGGGGAGGAGCCAGGAGGCAAGGGAGGCAAGACCAGCTCATCCTTATGGCCAAAGGGACTGGGCGAGGCAGGTGCGGGAGAGGAAGGAGAAGGGGCTGTTCTGGCCAGAACAGCAGGATGCAGAACCTGACTGCCAAAAGCACTTTATGGGGGGTGTTCTCTTCCACTCACTCACCCTCAGCCTTGGCCCCTTGGCACCCACCACCCCTCCTCTGCCCTCACCCGCTCATCACATCTCTCAGCAACGACTGACCTCTGGGCCAGAGAGGTGAGGTCAGTAAAGCCAAGCCGCTCAGCACCCCAGCATCCCTGGACTCGAAGCCCCGACACAACCCCTGTCTTCTCTTGGGGTTCAGCCACCTGGGGGCGTCTTCACTGCTGGTTTCTGAGAAGGGTTGGACTCAGTGACCCATTAAGGGCCCTGCGGTGTGACTTTTGGAGCAAGCGAAGATTCTAGACTCGTGTGTGTGTGTGTGTGTGTGTGTGTGTGTGTGTGTGTGTGTGTGTGTGTTCCGGGCCGGGGCACACGGATGAGCATGGGCTGAGTCCCAGCCACAAGCTAGGGTGGACCCTCTCCACAGAGGCCTCTCGATGCCCCGCAGCAGCCTAGCTTAGGGGTCCCACCCACCAGGCCCACAAACTGTGTTCTCACCCCCCGCGCCCCCCTCCAGCTATCACAGCTCCACCCAGGCCCCCACCCCAGGGTGCAGGGGGAGGTAAGGAGATCCCCAACTGGCCAGAAGCTGGGAGGAAGGTGAGGAGGAAGCCTGCTGGGGGAGGACCTCCGGGGGCTTATAGCTGGGTATGCTGTGTGATGGAGGGTGAATTCCTGCCCCCACTCTGGGCCTCGGTCTTCCCCTCCAATGGAGGGAGAAAGCCTGTGCCATACACCTCATCTCAGGGGAGAGGCTTAGGCGGAAGGAGGTTTGCACCCTATTTCTCAGAAAGTGGGAGAGGATGAGCTGGGTGCGGATGTTGAAAGGCATCAGGCTCACTGCTACCCGGCTGCCGCTCACCCTTGCCCAGCTGCCCAGAGCTGCCCAGAAGCCCCCACCATCTGGCTCCTCACTGACACAGCTCCCTTCCTACTTCCCGCTTCCCTTCTCTCCTGGCAGGATTCCAGAGGGGCACCCAGCTGAGTACATTCTAATCCCCCCCCCCAAGAAGTCCCTCCAACCCTAAGCCTCAGCTTTCTCTCTCCTGAGACAGATGAGGCACCATAAATCCCATAAAAAGCAGGCCATCTCCTTCCTCTTCGTCAGGGAGGGGAGGGCAGGGCTAACCCAACTGGCTGGCCCTTGTTCCTGGGACAGAAAATGTGGCCCCAAAACTCAGCAGGGGACACAGGACATAGCAGCAAAGCTGCTGAGGCGGCCTCTCTCAACGCCCTCGAGCAGACACGGCCTTGGGTGCCAGAGGAAAGCAAAGGGAACCTCCTGGAACCCGAGCACCCCCAGAACCTCGCCTCCTTCCTGTGAAGGATGCAGTCACACAAGCAACCCAAACCCCACACAACGCCAAAGGGAGACGTCAATCAAAGGGAGGGCCTGGGAAACGCCACTGCTGGGGTTCAGAGGTGAAGAGGGAGAGGATTACAGGCAGGACTTACTGATCATCTCCAACTCTTTTCACCCACGCCATCTCCCGCTCCGACTGGTTGGAGGCCAGATCCTAAGGGAGAAGACGGAGAGGTCTGACGCCAACCTCATCTGGTCGGGACGCCCCTTCTCTACCGTTCCCAGGGACGGCCGTACCCAGAGAAGAAGTCTTAAACCTCTAAATGCTATTTCCAGCAGCCCCCAGGCCTCCAGAGCCGTAGAGGTACCAGAGCAAGGGCCCCGGGCCTGTGCCCCGCTGTCACTCACCTGGGCCCGGGTCTCCTGCAGCTGCTTCAGCTCCTCCTGCAGCCGCTCGCACTCGGCCTGGAGCTGCTCTTCCCGGAGCTGAGCCCCCCGGGCTTCTCCCTGGGCAGCCTCCAGAGCCTCTTCCAGGCGCCTCCGCTCCAGCTCACTCACACTCGGCGCGGGGCCGGGCCAGCCTGCTGGCGGGGAGAGCACACTGTCAGGCTGAGTCCAGCTGCTGGGCACCTCCACTGCCTCCCAGATCAACACAAAGAGGAGAGGTGAGGACTGCAGCAGGAGAGACCCGAGAGAGACAGCTAGAGGACAGACACCCAGAATGAGGACAGTGTGCAAGGGGGAGCTGAGCTGCTGCTCCTAACCCTCCTGGAGGCCAGGGAAAAATAAGATGGCCCCTGAAGGGCTCCCCTGGCCAGACTCAAGTCCCTGAGCATCCTCTGGACCTCTCCTAATCACAACCTGTACCCAGAGCAGGCAGGGGACTCTGGTTTGGGGTGCCCTCTGCTGGCACCTATGAGAATTGCATGGGGGTAGCCAGGGTGGCGGGAGAGGGACTTAGATGGCAGAAATTGGGGTAATAGTGGATGGGGTGAGGGAACAGGTGGGGAGGTGGGGTGATTATGGGGGAAATGCAAAGCATTATAATGGGGTGTTGACTACCTGAGAAGCTGGGGTGCCCAACGGTGTTGAAATGGGGGTTTGGCTTGGGGAGTTCGGGGTAGGGAGGTTTAGGGGAGGCTGAGATCTTACCGTGACTCAAGCCAGACCCCCCTCTCAGGGTCAGGTAGTGCAGGTCCAGATCAGCACAGGGCGGGCCCAGCGGGGGGCTCAGGCTGGAGAACGCTGTGTCCTGGAGGCCTTGTTGCTGCTGCAGTTGCTGCTCCAAACCACAGATCTGCCGCAGGTGGGTCTCCACCAGGGCCCGCTGTGAGGGAAACCAGGGGGTGAGGGTCTGCACAGGGCCAGGGTGCCCCTGGAGCCCCCCGGATGCCCTGTCTGAACAGCCATCACCCCCAAATTGAGCAGGCCCCGGGTCACGCCACCCTCCAAGTGACCATGAGTTCGAGCGCTCCTCTCCCAGCAACTGCAGTGCAGATGTTTCTGGCTACTGCCTCTTGCAAGGCCAGAGTTCATGCCCCTTCCATGTCCCTCACACACAGGGGCACTTTAGGAAGCCTCAGCCCCCTGTCCAGACACCACCTCGGGGGCATTTGCATATGCGACAACCACTCTGGCTTCATCTACCTCATCTATGAGATAGGGATAACCACACCTACCTCTTAGGTTTGTCATCAGGACGAAAATGAGTAACTATCTAGAGAGATAAGAATGGTGCCTGGCACCTAGCAAGTGCTTTTGATGATTAAAGCAAAGCATTTTTACACTAATGCCCACAACAGCTCAGGGAAGTTATCTGCCCTGCTTTTTGGAGGAGGAATGCAGGCTACGTGACTTCCCCCAGGTGGCAGCTAGGAGTGGACCGAGACCATGCCTCCTGATTCTGACCCCCGCCCACTCGCTCACACAGACATGGCCATACCCTGATCCAGAATCACACACATGCCAAGACCCATCCCAGCAGCCGCAGACACTTCTGGTCACCTTTGCCCTCACCTACAGAGCCTTCCAGGAGCTGTGCTGTAGGCCCAGGGCAGACCCAGCAGGAGACTCAAACATACACACAGACACATACTACAGGGTCACTCACACGGTCACCCCCGGACACTGCATGGTCAGTATGTACACAGTCACTCACAACCGACAGGGCACACACAGCCCCACTTACAAGGCCAAATGGACACTCACGGACAGACACACGGGATCGCAGCGGGGTGCACACCACAAGCACACTCACAGGGTGACACACAACCGGTCACACGCTCCCACCCCAGCTCCCTGGGCCTCACCATCTCCCCAAGCTCTGTCTCCAGGTCGCTCTTCTCCACACAGAGTTTCTCGTAAGCCTGGATCATCTCCCCGAGCTGTTCTTCCTGCTCCTTATTCTTCTGCAACTGGATGGGGGCCCGGAGGGTTGGGGTGCACGCCAGTCAGGCCCATCACTGACTTTGGGGCTGAGCAGCTCCCTGTGCCTCCCACCCCCGTTCCCAGTACTCAGGAAAGGGGCAGGAGGAGCTGTGGCCAGCCCTAAGGGGGATCATGGCCATCTCTGATCAAGGGGACAGAAGGCCGGAGGCTGGTGGGTAGGGAGGTGTCTGAAATTGACTGGAGCAAACTTAGGGAAAGCCGAGAGGCCAGCCAGGGGCTCACCTCATGCTGGAACTGGTTGAGCCGTTGCTGTAGGCTGACCTTCTCCACCTCCAACAGGGAGCCATCCTTGATTTCATACAGAGAGAAGCCGTGCTCCTCTCCGAAGTTATTGATCAGCGGGTACTGTGGATGGTGGGCAGGCCCTCAGGAGAGCTGGTGCCTGGCTCCCTCCCCAGGCTGCAGGCTCATTGTGCCCCTTCCCTACAACCTGCCTCAGAGTCCCCCTCCTCCAGTGGGATCTGCACATCCAATTCCCACGGACCTGTAGGCGTTTCCCACGCCCCAGATCTCTAGACCCCAGGCCCTCCAGATCTCCTCCTGATTGGCTCTGGGCTCCGCAGAGTTCCCATCCAAAGCAGCCCCACCTCTCATGGGGGACTCTCAAGTTTCAAGAGTCTGTATCCTGACCTCCCTTTCGGATCCCTAGAATCTCTGCTGAATCCCCAATTCCTGCCACTAGCAGCCCCCGCTCCCCCCTCCCCCCACACATAAACAGCCAGACCCCCATCATCTCCAAGTTCTGACCTTGATCTCATAAACTTTGAGGCGGTGCCGAAGGGTGGCGTTCTCCCTCTCCAGGCCCCCCAGACGCTCCTTGATATCTCCGTAGGCCGTGATGAGGGCAAAGTGGGAGGCGGAGCACATGTCCCCCCCCAGCGATGCGTCTCCAGGAGCGTCCAGCCACACCTCACTGGGGCCCAGGGCTTCCTGGGTCAGGATACTGATGTCATCCTCAAACATGGACTCCATGGCGAGGGCCGGGGCTGCAGCACCCCTGGGGCCTCCTGGGAAAGCAGGAGACATGGTGGAGGGGGCGGCCTGAAGCTTGTCCCCTGACACCCCTAGTCTTGGCCTGAGGAGCCCTGTGACCAGCTGAGAGGCAGCCTGGTCCTGCCCCACCATCTCCCACAGCCCGCTTCCAGGCCACCAAGCCCCATCATCCCTTCCCTGCATCCGTTGGGGCGAGGGGCTGGGACCAGGTGAAGACTTGGGGGTGGGAAGCAAGGGGGAGGTGACAAGTTGGGGCACATAAGCCAGTCTAGCAACAGGGACGGGCTCCTTTTGGAACCCAGTGAACTGGAGAGCGCTGCCTTCCCAGCATGGGGCCCACAGGGAGGCCGGCCTGGACTCACGCCTCAGCCCCTTCTCCACCCCAGGCCTCATTTCCCCCAAATACCTCTCTGCCAAGCCCCTCATCCCGGCCTCTGGCACCCCTGGCTCCTCTCTAAGGAAGGCTCAGTGCTCCTGGGAGGGTCAGCCCCACCACTGTCAGCACTTCCTCTGCTGAGCCCCCGCCCAGCTCCCCAGCTTCCTCCTGCAGGATCCCAGAGTTCAGGAAAGGGAAATGCCTCCCCCACTCTCCGCGGGCCGTGGCCACCCTCCAGGCCCTCCTCACCCCTGACCTGGGACCCACAGGAAGTCCTGGACGAGCGTCAGGATGCGCAGAGGGGCCGGGGGCTGGGAGAGGGCCCGGCCCGGAGGAGAGGGCTGCCCGAGTCCCCCAGCCCGCCCTGGGGGCGCGCACACGGCGACATGGGGAGCCCTGGGAGGGGGCAGGGATGACTCAGGGCTCCCGAAAGAGTGGGCTGGGCGCGGGGGTGCGCGCGCTTCCCTGGCCTGTTTATGAATGTGTCTGCAGTCGGCATGTGTGGGGGAGTGTGTGTGTCTGTGAATGAGTGTAGGTGCGTTACACTCCGCGAGCGCCTGAGCGGGGCTGCGCGCGGGGGTCAGGATGGAGCCGCCAAGTGGCCGTGTGTGTGTGTGTGTGTGTGTGTGTGTGCGTGTGTGCACGCGTGCGTGAGCGTGTGTGCGGGTGGGCACGTTTGGGTCACGTGAGGCACTATGGGAATGTCCGAGGTGTGTGCGCGCGCCGGAGCCCGTGTGTGTGCAGGAGAGAGGGCTCCGGAGGTGTGAGTGCAGACAGTGGGGTTCGCGACCCCCCGGAGCCCTGCAGCAGGACCTGGGGTGGCAGGGGCGCAGGCCCGGGACCCCACACCGCCCCTCCCCCCGCCATTAAGTGCCAGGGAGACGCGTGCGCCCCGGCCCGAGTGCGGAGCGTGTGCGCCCGTTCGGAGGGCGGCCGCACCTTTAACCCCTTCCTCCCAGGCCGTCCCCTCCCCCAACCCCGCCGGCCATCCTGGGCCAAGTGC